ATAAAAGGTGAATTTTTAAAAAGACAAAAATAAGGCTAGAAAAGACTGAGTGGAGAAAGCCTACAGAATTTCAGAAAGCTAAAGAAATTGGAAATTAGATTGAATATAGATAGAAATGAGAGGACAATGCAGCCAATGAAAGACTGTGGGGACTAATAAAGGGAGAGCCCTGTGGTTTGGAAAGTGTCCCTTAATCAGCCTGCAGTGCTGCAAAACAGAAACCCAGAGAGGGTGCTTGAGAATATACAAGAACCCTGCGGTGGTGACTGAACAAAACGCAGCCAGGGATTTCATCAGAAGCATAATCCATTCATGGCACAGTCTGGCAGTGCTGGGGAGCTGGTAAGACACACACAGGCACCTATGGAACAAAAGAAATATTTGAAGTTCAAAATAATTCTGAGATTTCTAGCCATGGCCACACATCAGTGTTTGAGTTCATATGAGAAGCAGAGCCAGAGGTATAAAAACAAAAAAATAATCTTTACCCAGGAGGAAGATAGCAGTCTTTGAAGAACTCAGTAGAAGCTGATTTGGGTGAAGGCAGGAGATATCACGAAATTCTTGATTTCTTGTGATTACTCTGAATTGCTTGCTGTTTGGTAAGAAAAGATGAAAGACCCATCTATTTAGCCTAAAAATGAGAAATGCTCACTCACTCCTGTGCCTATTTTCAATGCTCTGACTGCAGAGCTTAAAAACATACTACAGGTAGAAACTCCGTACTCTTACTTGGGCTATAAGGTCCCTTTTCTGTTTTCTTAACTCTTTATCCTTTTCACCTCATGACACACATACAATGATACAATGTGGATACAATGCTGGGTTTGGGTTGATCCAGGCCCTGTTGGCTACCCAAAGGGCTGTAGGGATCTGTGTCTTGGCACGTAACGCATAGGCTGCTGCACACCAGGTAGAAAAGTTTTTCTGAATACACAGGGAGGTGAGTCACAAAAATGCACAGAAATATAAGCATTAAAATAAAAATCTCTCCCCTAAATTGACTTTAGAATAATTTCTAAATTTGAAACAAAAAAAAATTGAACACTAGAATAAGATTTCTCTCCCACACTGACTTTAAAATACTGTGAGTTTTAAGCAATGAAACATACTTTGGCCCTTCCAAAAGCTTTACAAGACTAGTTTGGGAGACTTCTGCTTCCAGAAAGATGGGGTAGATGTACTTAGCTACTCCTCCAGCTAAGAAAAAGAAAACCCTCGACAACCCACAGAATGGGAGACAATATTTGCAAATCATATTACTGACAAGACTCTAGTATCCAGAATATATAAAACAACTCTGTTTTACTTTTATTTTTTGGAGACGGAGTCTTGCTCTGTCACCTAGGCTGGAGTGCAGTGGCGCAATCTTGGCTAACTGCAACCTCTGTCTCCTGGGTTCAAGCAATTCTTCTGCCTCAGCTTCCCGAGGAGCTGGGACTACAGGTGCACGCTGCCACGCCTGGCTAATTTTTTTGTATTTTAGTAGAGACGGGGTTTCATCATGTTGCCCAGACTAGTCTTGAATTCCTGAGCTAAGACAATCCACCTGCCTTGGCCTCCCAAAGTGCTGGGATTACAGGTGTGAGTCACTGCGCCCAGCCAAAAGAACTTTTCTAACTCAACAAATAAGAAGAAAAATAACCCAACGTAAATATGGACAAATGATTTGAATAGACATTTCTCCATAGGAGATATACAAATGCCAAAAAGGACATAAAAAGGTGCTCAAACATTGGTCATTAGGAACATGCAAATCAAAGCCGTAATAATATACCATTTCATGCCCACAAAGATGGTAATCAAAACGATGAACAATAACAAGCACTGGTGATGATGTGGAGAAAACAGGGCCCTCCTACATTGCTGCTGGGAATGTGAAGTGGTGTGGCTGCTGTGGAAAACAGTTTGGCAGTTCCTCAAAAGATTAGACACACAGTTACCATATGAAAAGCAATTCAAGTCCTAGGTATATGCCCAAGAGAATTAAAAACACATGTTCACACAAAAATTTGTACACTGATGTTCTTAGCAGCACTATGTCCAGTAAGTGTAAACAACCCAAATGTCCATCAACTGATGAATGGATAAACAAAATGTGGAATAGCTATACAACAGAAGATTATTTGATAATAAAAAGGAGTAAAGAACTGACACATGCTACAACATAGATGAATCTTGAAAACATTTCACTAAGTGAAAGAAGCCAGACAGAAAAGGCTACATCCTGTACAACTGCATCTACATGAAATGTTCAGAATAGCAAAATCCATAGATACAGAAAGCAGATTAGTGGTTACTCAACATAGTAAACATGTCAATTCTCCCTATGTTGATAAACAGGCTTAATGCAACTCCTATCAAAATCACAGTATTTAAAAAGTAAATGTCAATACGATTATTCTAAAATTTATATGGAAAGGCAGGGGAATTAAAATAGCTAAAATAACTGTATAAAGAAAAAGAAAGGCTGGGCACTGTAGAACATGCCTGTAATTTCAGCACTTTGGGAGACTGAGGCGGGTGAATCACTTGAGGTCAGGCATTCATGACCAGCCTGGCCAATATGGTAGAACCTCATCTCTACCAAAAAATACAAAAATATGAACCAGGCACGGTGGCGCCCGCCTGTGGTCCCAGCTACTTGGGAGGCTGAGGTGGGAGAATTGCTTGAGCCCGGGAAGTAGTGGTTACAGTGAGCCGAGATCACACCACTGCACTCCAGCCTGGGCTACAGAGTAAGACTCTGTCTCAAAAAAAAAAAAAAAAAAAAAAAAAAAAAGGAAGTGGGCATAGTTAGCCTAACCAATTTTAACTATCCAATTTACTATACAGCTATAGTAATCAATACTACGGTATTGGCAGAAGGCAGACACATGCATCATGGGATCAGAATAGAGAACCCAGAAATAGACCCACATAAATATGCCCAACTGATTTTTGACAAAGGTGAACACGAAATTAAATGGAGAAAAGGTAACCTTTTTAACAAATGGCACCAGACCAACTGAATATCCGTAAGCAAAATCTTAGTCTTGATGTGAGTCACATCTCTTATATAAAAATTACCTCAAAGTTTATCATGAACTTAAACATAAAACTTTTAGAAAAAAAAATCATGATAGAAAAAAAAAAAAAATCATGGGGATCGAGGCCAGGCAAAGACTTTTTAGACTAGACAACAAAATCATGATCCATAAAAGGAAAAGCTGATAAAATGGACCTCATCAAAATTAAAAACTTTTGTTCTTCCAAAGACCGTGTTAGGAGGATGAAAAGATAAGTTATGAACTAGGAAAAAATATTTGCAAACCACATATCTGACAAAGGACTAGTAGCTAGAATGTATAAGGAGCTCTCAAAATGCAACAATAAAAAAGCAAACAAACTAATTAGAACATAGGCAACAGATATGAACAGGTATTTCACCAAAGAAGGTATACAGAAATTAAATAAGCACATGAAAAGATATTCACCATTACCACAGGGAAATGCAAATTAAAACTGCAATGGGCTGGGCGCGGTGGCTCACGCCTGTAATCCCAGCCAAGGCGGGTGGATCACTTGAGGCAGGAGTTTGAGACAAGCCTGGCCAACACGACGAAACCCTATCTCTACTAAAAATACAAAAATTAGCCAGGCATGGTGGTGAGCACCTGTAATTCCAGCTACTTGAAAGGCTAAGGCAGGAGAATTGCTTGAACCCGGGAGGCAAAGGTTGCAGTGAGCCAAGATCATGCCACTGCGCTCCAGCCTGGGTGACGGGGTAAGATTCTGTCTCAAAAAGCAAAACAAAACAAAACTGCAGTGATATATGCCACCACACAGCTATCAAGATGGCCAAAATAAAAACTGGTGACAACACCAAATGCTGACAAGGATGTGGAGAAAATGAATCATTCATCCATTGCTGGTGGGAATGTAAAATGGTACGGTCACTTTAAAAAACAGCTTGGCATTTTCTTAAAAAACTACACGGGCATGTATATTCTGACCAGCAATTATACTCCTGAGCACTTAACCCAGAGAAATGAAGATTCAGGTTCAAACAAAACTATGTGCATAAGTGTTTATAGCACTTTTACTTTAATAACCAGAAACTGCAAACAACCCCAATGTCCTTCAACAAGTGAACGGTTAATTAAACTTGGTACATTCATATCATGGAATACCAGCCATTAATAAAATGGAACAAATCACTGATACGTGCAATAACCTGGATGAATATCCAGAAAATTATGCTAAGTGAAAAAGCCAATCCAAAAGGTTGCATACTGTATGATTCCATTTATACAGCATTTGTGAAATGACAAAATTACAGCAGTGTAGAACAGACTGGTGATTGCAGGGGCTAAGAAAGGGATGGGAGTAGAAAGTGGATGTGGCTATAAAAGGGCAACATAAGGAATCCGTGTGGTGATGGAAATGTTCTGTATCTTGACTATATGTATCAAATGTCAATATCACAGTTGTGATAGTGCTTTATAGTTTTGCAAAATGTTACCTCTATGGGAAACTGGGTAAAGTACACATGGAATCTTTCTGCATTATTGTCTACAAAATATATATGCATCTACAATTATGTTGAAATTAAAAGTTTAACAAAAAAGCCAGTTTAAAAATCTCAGGATATAAAAAGACATATGTATTTAATATATATCATAAAAAGCAGATATACTTTTATCTCAATATCAAAAAAATGAAATTAATCTTAGGCACCATTATTGAGTCAAATTCTGGTTATGAAGTGAAAAATTAAAGAGGAAGAAGGGAGCTGTCCTTCACAAATCCCAGTTTAATTTCCAGGAGACAAAAAAAAAAAAAAAAAAAACTATGAAGGCATAGACAAATCTATATATCTGAAATAAACCTCAGCTCTTAAAGTTTTAATTATAAGAAAGCATACAGATTCCAAAAGAAATTCCTTCCTTTATAGTAGTCTGTAAAATAATATTTAGACTCCTCAGAAAAAATACAGCACTTTAAATCTAGGTGCTTACCTCACAGAATCACTTACTTCAGAAGGATGGATCACAGTTGCAATTAGGGGTTAGATGGGTAGAGATGAAAGAGTTGAGGGTTTTTGTGGCAGAAGAAACAAGGCTTGGGGGAAATACAGGAACAGTACGGCCTAAGAAACTGTACACCAGACTTGGCACCAGATCTCCAATATTGACTTCCTCATCCTGTATATAATCCTAGTTCTATCTCCTTTATTGAACTCCGAATAAATCACAAAATCCCCGTGCCACAATTTCCTCCTCTTCTAAGACAGAGATAATATTTTCACCTGCCCATCAAACAGGATATTTGCAAGGATAAATATCTGTACAGCATGGAAATGTCTGAATGAAGGGTACCAAGAAATAGCATCTGCAAATGAGGTGAATTTAAAACACTGAATTTAAGTCTGTTTTATATGAAGAAACCAATGATTTTTTGAAGGAGACTGGAGAAAGAGAAACAAAATAAACAAAATGATTTAAACCAAGTCAACATCGTCATTTACTTTTCTCAATTATCTTGAGGTTGCTAGTGGAAAATTCGGTATTGCTAAAGGCATACAGTACCCCAATCCACTAGCGAAACCATTTTAATCACGTGAATTTTCCACAGCAGGCTTTAAAAGGTTGAAAAAAACAAAAACAAACAACCAAAACCCCACAAGACAGAAAATCCATTAGGGTCTGTGCAGCAGTCTGTCACAACACTGAAAAATGGGAACAGCGTGGAAATAAGCAGTTCATTTTACCTGCACTGCAGCACTAATTAAATTCTGACTGGTATTTTGGTTACTCATTCAAGTCTGTCTGCCTCCACTTGGATCTAAACTCTCTAACTAAAAAAAAAAACACACAATTCATACTCATCTTCACATCTCTCATGGTCCATAACTTGGCATATGGTCAGCACTTTGCAAACACTGCACTGAACAAATATGCATGTGTCTAATCTATTACTGCCAGTTTAAAGGAATATACTTAAGTTATTCCAAAATAGAGGCTGACCTCCTGATATTTATTTAGCTAAAGCCCTGAAACTTACTGAACAATGGTTTTGATTTCTAGAATTTCATTTTCTCAGTTTACAATATTTCTTATGTGGTAAGGAATAATCAGCTAAATTATGTAAATATAAATTTTTACTGATACTCTGAAAAACATCTTTTAAGGATAAATCCTGAGCCCAGAAAGACATCAGGCAAAATAGTCAGAAACTTTTAGCTGTGATTTTTACCAGACATGTAGGGTTGCTTTCTGTCAATAATTCGCTATTGGGTTTTTTTAAATTCTAATTTTCTAATCTTTACTCACCAGTGTCCAGTCTTGATTTGACATGCTGGTATCTTGGGTTCTGTGGTATCCTTTTCATCAGATACTAAAAAACAAGGTAATTCACAATTAATTGGGTTAATGTAAGGATAAGGGTGGTAAAGTCAGGAGTCAGATACTCAGAAAACGGAAAAAAAAAAAAAAAAGGTAAAATTTCTTAGAAATTAAAGATGGGGCCAGGCATGGAGGCTCACGCCTGTAATCCTAGCACTTTGGGAGGCCAAGGTCGGCGGGTCACCTAAGGTCAGGGGTTTGAGGTCAGCCTGGCCAATACGGTGAAACCCCATCTCTACTAAAAATACAAAAATTAGCCAGGCATGGTGACGGGCGCCTGTAGTTCCAGCTACTCTGGAGGCTGAAGCAGGAGAATCGCTTGAACCCGGAAGGCAGAGGCTCCAGTGAGGTAAGATTATGCTGCTGCACTCCAGCCTGGGTGACAGAGCCAGACTCCAACTCAAAAAAAAAAAAAAAAAAAAAAAAAAAAGATGGAATGAGCTCCAGAGGTCCAATTGTCTTTTCAACATAGGACTTTTTTCGACAGCATTTCCATAGCTGAATATATTTATCTTGTTTCTGTCAGAAAACTTCCATATTTCGTCAAACTCATCTCAGAGCACTACATGATAAGGAAAAAAAAAAAGAGCTCCTAAAAAATTATTTCTTGGCCAGGCGCCGTGGCTCACGCCTGTAATCCCAACACTTTGGGAGGCTGAGGCGGGTGGATCACGAGGTCAGGAGATCGAGACCATTCTGGCCAACATGGTGAAACCCTATCTCTACTAAAAATACTAAAATTAGCCGGGCGGGGTGATGCGCACCTATAGTCTCAGCTACTTGGGAAGCTGAGGCAGAAGAATCACTTGAACCCGGGAGGCAGAGGTTGCGGTGAGCTGAGGTCGCGCCACTGCACTCTAGCCTGGGTGACAGAGCGAGGCTCTGTCTCAAAAAAATAAAAAAACATATTTCTTACATTGAGCCCAAATCAGTCTTTCTAATTTTCATTCAGTCCACTGCTGCAACCCACTGTAAGTCATCTGCCTCTGTCTCAAGAAATCTGTTGAGATGACCAAAGGCAGTCGTCCTGACCCTGTTTCATTTCACTTTCTTTATGATGGTTTCTAGGCCATTTCCTCTGGACACCCCTGAGATTTTTCCATCTCTCCCCTGCAGGGATCCAGCCCTAAGCACAGTGCTCCAGATGTGGGCAGGCCAGGCCCCAGGTGGGCAGGTTCCCACTGCTCCCAAGTCTGTAGCTCCAGGGATGTCGACCATGGCATCTGCTCTCATGGCAGCTGAGGCTCACCTGGGGCTCAGTGCAAGTGTAGGTTCAGCAAAAATGCATATGTCATGTCAGTTCTCCTTTGTGCTGCTCTCTGGTAGTTAACTCTTTGAATCCAAGCATAAGACATTAACCCACATTAAATTACAGTGGCGATTGTGAAAGCCATTAAGTGAGGAGAAGCTAATGAATAAAGGTATCATGAAATAGCGCTTTCTTGCTCAGGCCTTTTTCTGGCCTGCAGGTATGAAAGTCCTTTCCTCAATAACAGGTAGCTGTGGAATATGAAATTACCGCAGTGCCTTTTCGGCTTTATCTTCTGCTACCCTTCCTCATGTTCCCACGTTGAAGTTGCTGGGAATGTCTCCTTAATGCAGCACACTCATTCAGGTTGCCAGTCTCTGCAGATGTCTGCCTAGAATGCCTTTCCTTCACTACTCCTTGGGCAAAATGTATTTCCTCTGTAAAGCTATCCAGTACAGAACTAGGCACTTTCTTCTCCCTGGCTCCCAGAATACTCACAGCCCGCTCCATTGTTTAAACCTCAATCTTCTTCCCTAGTCTAGGATTTCCCTGAAGGCAGGGGCAATGACTTACTCATATTTGCATTTGCTTACGACCTAGTGCATGGTAAGTACATTTATTGATATTCAGTGAATAAGTGAATACCGAAAATGAAGATTGTACTACAGTAACTATCTGGTTCCTTAGATGAGAACATCGGACTTACAAAAACTGCATCCTTTGCCTTTGAAAACAGTTAACCACGGCATACTCTGTCGGGAGGATTGCAAAATAAACATTTACCTATAAAATAATGGTTCAAATGACCCACAAAGCATACAAACAATATGGGATACTTTAGTGTCTTACAAAATATCTGTTGGCCAGAGTTTTAGATTTCAGGACCAGGGGGAATTTTTAAAAACTAGAGGCACCTACAGTTACCACCTTTTAATATTGCCAAGGACATAAAAAAACAAAACCAAAGCAAAAGCCTCACAACATCTGCTATTTTAACATCTAAAAGGTAAGGGGGAAAAAAAAAAAAAGGCCCAGCGTGAAAGGGTCAGTCCTTCAGTGTCATTAAAAACCATTCATGACATTGTGATTTTCACTTCGCCCCAGGCAAGTCACAGCTTTATCATCAACTCTTAGCATCTGTCCTCAGATTGTGTTTGGAACCATTGAGCTATTTTATCCTTAGAAAAAGGTTGGAAAGCTTGTTTCTCCACATGATCAGTAACATGTCTATATGAGAAAGTAACTTGTCTATATGAGAAAATAACATCAATTTCAATTTCTTCCCTAGAGGAAGACAGAGCAGATTCTTGAGCAAAAGATGGAAAATATCCAAAGACTGAAAAGTGGGACTTCAGTACAAATTCCCCAGAGACAGACAATATCATGGCAAAATGAAACAAAGAAAGAAAAAAAAAAAACAGGGAAAGTATGTGTCTGGTAAATTGAGTCAAGAAATGCTAATACTAGATTGCAGTTATCTTAGGCTAAGGGATTTTTTTCTGCACTCTGTATTTTTTTTTTTTTTAATCATTTCTATACTCTATTTCCTGTTTTTACTTTTGTTTTGTTTTTCCCATTAGTTTCCTAGCAAAGCTTCTTTTAAAAATTCCAGGCTAGTCTCTGCTGAACCAAGGGGATTTGTCCATACCTAAGCCAAAATAGCTAAGAAGTGAGGGTGTCTCTGGGGACCAGGTGTGGTGGCAGCAGAATGATGAGGGGAGAGAGTGTGGACAGCTGCAGTGGCTGAGCCCTTCCCGCCCCCGGTTTTCCCTTACATAGACTAATGAGAAATCCATATGCTGCAGGAGAAAAAATGTAGTTTCTTTTCTGTGTTCCCACTGCAGTCCAATTTCTTGTTCCTGTCTTTCTAGTACCAACCGCAATGTAAAACTATTTGTGCTCCACTGCAAGCCGAGCACCACAGATTTTTATGGGACGGACATACTTTTTTTTCTTTAAAATTCTTGCTTTGTGGGGTGACTGCTTCTTGACCTACTGACCAACTGGCTTTCTTTCAATTACATAAACAGGATGGAATGGTGGAAAGTGAAGAAGCTGAAAAAAGAAGCTGTTTTCAAGGAAGACTGTTCATTGAACAAAGACTTATTGAGACCAACCATTCATTCAGTGGACATTTACTGAGTGCCTACTAGGGGCAAGCCTCTGTGCTGAGGACAGAGAGGTGAAAAACAGTCTTTGCCATCCAGCTTTCACTGACTGCTGGGAAGACAGACAAGGGGATAAACAGACGTGAGGCTGCCTGAGGAACAAGGAAAGGGAAGGAGGGGGTGTGACAAAAGCACATCAGATTGGCATCTAATCCAGGTTAAAAGAGTCAAGAACTGTTTCTTGAAGGGTCACATCTGAGCTGAATTCTGAGGGTTAAGGAGGTTAGTCAAGCTAAAGGAGTAGTGGATGGGAGCTACGGGGTTTCTGGCGAGGGAAAAGCATGGCGAAGGAGTGGAGTCTCAAGGGAGTACCAACAGTTTTCAGCAATCTAACAGTAACTGGCCTGCCTGGAGCATAGCGGAAAATATGGGGACAAAGGACGCTGGAGAGGCAGCAGGGGCAGATCACAAAAAGCCTCGCATACATGTTTAAAAAAATTTGGGTTTCATCCTATAGATCAGTGGATCTCGAACAGGTACCATTTTGCTCCTTCTACCCCCAGAAACATCTGTCAATGTCTACAGGCATTTTTGGTTGTCCCAACTGGGTGGTAGGAGGTGCTACTGGCATCTTAGTGGGTAGAGGCCAGGGGTGCTGCTAAATACCCTACAATTACAGACAGCCCCACCACAAAGAATGAGCCCAAATGCCAATAGTGCCCAGGGTGGTGAAGATGATGAGGGGGTCACTGGAGAAGTTTGAAGGAGGAGTGACAAGATTATATTTCTGTTTTAGAAAGGTGACCCTGGGAGCAATATGGAGAATATGAGTCAAGAAAGGAGGCATGAAAATCAGTTGAAAGGCTGTTGTGCTAAGAGGATCTGTAGTCCTAAGGAAGTGGCAATAAAGATGAAGAGGAAGAGACCATTTCAAGAAATCTTTAAAATGTTAAATCAATATAATTTGAAATTGACTCATGTACTAACAGGACAGTGATACCATTCTCCAAAAAAGGGAGTTAAGGAGGAAGCACATATTAAAAACATAATATGGTCAGTTGGAGCATGCTGAGTATGAGATATCTGTGGCTTGTCCAAAATGGAACTATCGGCCGGGCACAGTGGCTCACACCTGTAATCCCATTAATTTGGGAGGCCGAGGTGGGAGGATCACTTGAGCCCAGGAGTTCAAGACCAGCCTGGGCAACACAGGAAGACTTTGCTTCCCCAAAAAAATAAAAATAAAAGTAATAATTAGCTGGGCATGGTGGCATGTGACTGTGGTCCCAGCTGCTCGGCAGGCTGGGGTAGGAAGATCCCTTGAGCCCAGGTCAAGGCTGCAGTGAGCCATGTTCCTGCCACTGCAATCCAGCCTGTGTGACAGAGCGACATTCTCACTAAAAAAACCCCAAAAAACAAAATGGAAGTATCTAGTTGTCTATTTGGGTCTAGAAATCAGGAGAGATACCTGGGCT